TAAGCACAGTACAGACTGAGTAAAGAAAAAGAAGGAAATAAAGCATATGATACAGATTCAAGTGACAAAATAGAGACTGATAATTCTGGTCTTAAAAATTTGAACTATGGTAAGTAGCAGAGAGTAATGGAAAAATTTCACAGGTAGGGTTCCCCAGAACCAGAGGCTAAAAAAAATGATATATGGGAGTGGGGAGGGTGTCTCTCAAATGAGACCTGTAAGAGAGTGAAGGAAACAGTAGAAAATAGGGGAAGAAGCTAAGCAGAGATGTGTGTTCAGCTAAAATGTACTCTCAGCCTTACCCTGTAGGGAGCTCGGAAATGTGAATGACAACTTAGAGCCTTATTTCAATCATTAGCAGAGAGCCAACCAGGCATCTCTGGGCAGGACGGTTCCCATTGGATTGAAGCAATCCAATCCTCCGGAGAAGGGTGAGCCCGTAAGCACCCAACACTCACCATAGTTGAAGGATGGCTGCACTGCCCTTGTGTAGGGTAACTGTGCAGGCACCAGCCATGTCTGCTCTATGGCATTTTGAAGGACAAACTGGAATGGTAGGAGCCTGAAGAACTACATACACATACAAATGGTAATGCCATCCAAACTTGAAAAGTAGCTGTGTAGGCAAAATAATGGTTTCTGAAAGATGTCCACGTCCTAATCCCCAAACCTGTGGATATGTTATATTACATGGCAAATGGGACACTGCATGATTAATGTTAAAGATGTTAAAATGAGATTATCTGGACTAGCCTGGTGGCCCCAACCTAATCATATGATTCCATAACAGTAGAGGGACATTTTTGGCTGCAGTTTACTTAGAGAAGAGCTCTGTCACTGGTTTTGAAGATGTAGAACAAGGAAAGCAGCAGCTTCTAGAAGCTGGGAAAGGCAAGGGAACAGATTTCCTTTAGAACTTCAGGAAGAAGTGAAGCCCTGTGACACCTAGATTTCAGCCCAGGAAGACTCATGTTGAACTTCTAAACTATAGTATTGTAAGACAATAAATTTGTGTTGTTTTAATTTATTACAGCAGCAATAGAAAAACCAATACAGTGGCTAAAGAAAGGGAAAGGACAAGACTAATGAATAAGAAATTGATGAATTCTCATAATTTTTTTAAAAGCCTTAAAAATAACACTAGTCTGTGTTTTATTTTCTTTCAATTTTAAGTAGAATAATTCTTATTCCTTTTATCATAATTCATAAACTAAAGTCACAGAAAAGATCATTTCAATGAAATTATTATTGAATTAGAATGATTGTAAAAGATAAATGGTTTATAAAGGTTAAGAAAATAGATCTTTAGTGGACCCCAAAATTCCTAATGGAAGATTAAAAGGAAGAAGCTGTATTGATTTTTATTACTAAAGTAAAGACATAAGTGTCAGGTCAACACAAACTGTGAATCATTCTGTTTGGTTTTTTTAGTACCTGCCTGGGATTCACATTTTCTTAGAGGAAAATGCAGAACTGTGAGCTTCATGGTCAGCAGAGGGCGCCATGGAGCAGGCTCTCCCTCACACTAAAGGCTTTTTCCAGGCAGGCAAAGGATAGTGCCTATGGCTCTCCAAGCCTGTATTTCCTTTTTATTATCCAGTACTCTTCAAAATTAGGTGTGAGAGTGGGAACAATATTTTTGCACTGACATAAATACTTTTTCAATAATTTTATGACAATTGTTGGCATCTTCCTCAAAAATTTTTTAAAAATATTAAATGTGTGATAAATTTCAGCCATTTCATGAAGTCTTCAATAATAGGACTGTTAAGTAAGCAAATGAAAATCAGCAGTGTGTGCATTTCACTTAGTTAAATGGAAACTCCCCTGATCTCATACTTGGAAGACAGGGGCGGAGGGGATGTGTCCTGAGAATGACACCAACCAAGTGTCACAGCATCCACTGAGGGTGAGGGTGAAATCCACTTTTATTTTTAAGAACAATTAGTACGTTCTTTACACCTGACCAAAAAAAGGTATAGACACTACCCCACTGTAAGTAAGAATCCAGAGAAAAAGGAAGAACACAGGCCAATCAGAGTCACCTAAACCAATTTATGGCTCAGACAGACAGGGCTTTGCAGAATGTACTGGCAGAAGTAAATAAGCCTAGATAGAAATAGTGATGATTATGTCTTTGTACTTAAAATGAACATAGAATATAAATGCAAGTTTAGCTTTCTGAAAGTTCTGCAAATTGTAAAGAAGGTCATAGCCTAAGAAAGAAACCAGCTGGTGCAAAGACAACAGTGGCCACACCTCAGAGAAGGATTAGAAGAGCAGGACAAAGTCAGGAACCACACCTGCCACTTATTCTGCTTGCTATTGGATATAGTCAAAATCTAGTTTTGCACACACTTAGTACAGACAGAAATTAAAATAATGTAAAAATATATTATGGTTAATTAAACAGATCATATTTGAGTATATTCATAGATTATATTTACTTGTTCAGTGAATCAGAAATGTGTTTTTATGGTACAAAATTCAAAAGGTCTATTCCTATTTGGAATAGAACACTAATTTTAATGTTTCTGTAAAAATAATACAATTATTACATTATAGTTTATTATTTTAAAATGTCATGGTTTAAATCATCCCATTTTTTGTATAATACTTTCTATCATTTTCTTTCTACCTACATATCTAGCCATCATATCAAATTTCAATGTGTTTTCTCTTTAGAGAGATATCTGAATGAATGTTCATCAAATATTGATGGCTATTCTAGGTGCTTCTTCCTTTTCCAACAACATATCTGATGTCAGATATTTTTCAGCCAAAACAACATATCATAACAGATTGAATACAAAAGCAGATATGAAAATCCAGAAGTTTTCAATTAGGTCAGACATTAAAGAGATTTTCAAAAATGTAAATGATATAACTTTCTCACAAACATCTTGTCTTGGAAAATAAAATATTTTTCATAGAAATGTTTTTTGTTAATGTAATGGCTTTACCACTGCTCTTTTTTAAATGAATAAGCATGTAAAATTCTTATCAGCTTTAACTTCTAATATAATAAGTATTGATAGATATAATCTATATAAACCAAAACTTTCAGGGGTCCTCTATAATTTTTAGAAGTGCGACGGTGTCCCAAGATGGGAAAAAAAATGAGACTTCTATTCTAATGTCTCTGGAATTAACTCTAAATCAAATCTCTCTCATGAGCAAACATACATTTAACTATATTTAACAGACAATTCAAAAGAAAGAATAAAAAAAAAGTTTTGATGCTATTCCAACCTGCCAAATTTGCTATTTGCCTCATTTTCCCAATTTTGGTGAATGATGCCACAGTTCATCTAGCTGCTTATCTCCCAAACCTAGGAATCATCACCAATTTCTTCCTACAACTCCCCACATCTGATCCATTAACAAGTTCCATTGACACTGCCATTAAAATATATTCCTAATTCCATCAGTTCGCACCACCTTGATAACCATCACTCCAGCACAAGGCAATATCATATTCTCTTGGCATTTTTTTTTGAGGGCATCTCTCCTATTTATTGATCAAATGGTTGTTAACAACAATAAATTCTGTATAGGGGACTCAATGCACAATCATTCATCAACCCCAAGCCTAATTCTCAACAGTCTCCAATCTTCTGAAGCATAACAAACAAGTTCTTACATGGTGAACAAGTTCTTACATAGTGAATAAGTTCTTACATGGTGAATAGTGCAAGGGCAGTCGTATCACAGAAAATTTCGGTTTTGATCACACATCATGAACTATAAACAATCAAGTCAGATATGATTACTCATTTGATTTTTATACTTGATTTATATGTGAACCCCACATTTCTCCCTTATTATTATTATTATTTTTAATAAAATGCTGAAGTGGTAGGTAGATACAAGATAAAGGTTGATAAGTTTTCACAAATGCCTAGGGTACCTAACTGGTTTTCTTGGTTTCACTGGATATGGCTGGTAATTGTAGGTCTGCTTTTGTTATGTATCTGTATTCCTATTCTGTTAATGTGTGTATGTAATTTAATTAGTAGTTTGTTAAAACCTATACATGCTTATGTTACTCTACAAGAAGATATGTCAAAGAAATAATCAATCTTCCCATGTTTTCTCCCATCTGCTACTTCTATACCTTTTCTTCTTCCTTCCTAATTACAACCCTTTAGTAGAATTCGTGCCTCATATCGAAAATTACCGAGTATCATAATTCTTCCAAGTGGCAAAGATACCTCAAGACAAATGCTGGGCATAGAAGCCACAGGGCAGAAATCTGCAAAGAAGTAAAAAGCTAACCTTTTCAAACAATATTGCTTCTCTCTCACTTACCAACTTTACATTTCCCTGTATGGCCTCGGAAGATGACTGGATAGCCAGAGATGGGTAAGATTCCTCAAGGGAGAAACAACTTAAGACAGGCACAGTCGCAGGGGGGCCATCAAGTGAGAAATTGAGGATCAACAGAGGTGAGGCTTAGAACCTCAGCCCCCCTGTTTTGAGAGAAATCTTCTGCATCCGTGGATGTTTTGTTGCCCTTGTCTAGCTTGGATTAATACTTAGTCTATAGGCACAGACCCGATCATCTACATTGCCCTCTTACAGCACTAAATTCTCTTGGCATTTTAAAATTAAAAAAATAAAGTAAGACTCACTGAGTAAGGTGAGTGGCTACAGAAAATTACTGTGTCTCCAATATATCATCATCACCATCACCATCATCATCATCATATAGATACAGGCAGAACCTGAATAGTTTACATAATACTATTAGTTTTAATTTTTTAATATAGTGATTACAGTGATTCAGTTTTCTCTAACCAAACTCTAACCCCTGATTCAGAAGAGTATGTGATATGCAATAACTGTCATTAAAGAATCAAACCATATAACTTCGAAAGTTTTAAAATGTTAGGACCAAAGAAATTACATTTGAACATTATGCTTCAGAAACTAAATTACAGAGTGGATTAAAATGAAATTTCTGTATTTTTTTTCATTAGATGAAGAGTCCAACTTACCTTATCGAGTTCATCTGAAATTGCAATACCTAGGATTCAAAAGAGATTTATAAAAAGGCTTTAGGAACAATCTTTAATAACCCAACATTAGAGACAAAAACAAAAGTTCTATTTGTAAAACTGGTGCATTTTCCATTCCACTTTTTTCTTTTTTCTAGTGCTTCAAAATAATGTGGTACATCCTTTTTACTAATGAAAACACATTAGGAATTGAGGTCAATTATAACAGCATGAACTGCTGAAACAATGCAAATGATTAAACAAAAACAAAGTAAGTACCATACTGCTTGTAGGTTGTTAAATGTGGAGCACACTTGCAAAACAATCCCAGAGATGTTATGTCGTCTTTATGTTATAATGACAATCAAGTACAATTTAGCCTGCTACAATATTGTTTCTTCTTAAGAAATCAGACTCCTAAAGCAATAAAATATTAACACAGAATGGGACTGGAGATCATTTATTTTAATTCCCTTATGTTATAGATGAGGACACCGACTAGAGAGTTTAAGGAATTTGTCCCACTTTCATTCAGATAGACAACTTCTTAAGCCAATGGATAATCGATTCCTCTCCTCACCATCACACAATCCTCACTGTACATCAGTCTGATTTCTCTTTACCATCCCTCCAAAACTTTTCTAAACCAGCAACAAAAAAAGTTTTAGTCCTTATTTTATTTCTCTGATAGACTGTTAACCCCACTTGCTCTCTTGAAATGCTCCCCTCTCTTTTCTATTCTCTTTTGACTCCTTCAATAGGAATCTTCTTTAGGAGAAGGGAATCTTTCCTGACGTACCATGGGCTCTTTTTGGAGCTGTTTTTTCTTTTGGATTCATGCACTTTCCTTGATAACCACACCCATACCCAGACATTTTTATTTCTCTATACAGGGATGGCCAGAAAACCTTTATTGCCAGCACAAACTTTCTTCCTGAGCTAATTGTTGAATCCTTGTGGGCATTTCAATCTGAACATGTCAGAATGATGACACCATCCTCCTGTCACTATTTTTGAATAATGTGTACCTATGGCTGAACAATGGGGCAGGTGCAATCACCCATCAGGTTTGGAGCGTAAGGCAAATGAAAGCTGATGTCAAACCCCAGCATGGGATAGGCCAAGAGACAAGGGAAGTTTTAAAATTTGAAATCCAAGGAACACAAAGATAATCAGAATTGAAGCTGAAGCTCAGCAGTCTATAAAGCACAAGAAAGAATGAGCTGGGTTGGAAAAGAAACCTGAAAATAGTCTCAAGAAAATAAGCCTGGTAAACTCTTGAACATCATAATTAGTAATTTTTTTCTAGATATATCATCCTAAGGAACCTACAGAATGGGAGAAGATACCTGCAAACTGTATTTCTGATAAGGGGTTACTATCCAAAACACATAAAAAACTCACACAACTCAACACCATAAAGACAAATAATCCAATTAAAAATGAGCAGAGAAAATGAATACATATTTTTCCAAAGAAGACATACAGATGGCCAACAAGAACATACTCCACCCAAGATACTCCACCCAAACTGCTAGTCATGAGGGAAATAGAGATCAAAACCACAATGTGCTATTACCTCACAGCAGTTAGAATGGCTATTATACAGAAGACAAGAAATAACAAGAATTGGCAAGGATGTGGAGAAAAGGGAACCCTCCTACACTGTTGGTGGAGATGTAAATTGGTGCAGCCACTGTGGAAAGCAGTATGGAGGTTCCTCAAGAAACTAAAACTATCATACAACCCAGTAATTCTACTTCTGGAAATTTACCTGAAGAAAACAAATCACTGATATGAAAAGATATATGCACCCCTATGTTTACTGAAGCATTATTTACAATAGCCAAGATATGGAAGTAACCTGAGCATCCCTCAAAGGATAAACTGATAAAGAAGATGTGATATATATGTGCATACATAGACACACACTCTAATATTACTCAGCCATTAAAAAAAGAATGAAATCTCGCCATTTGCAACAACATGGATAGGCCTATAGGATATGCTAAATGAAATAAGTCACACAGAAAAGACAAATACCATAAAAATATTACTTATATGTGGAATCTAAACAAAACAAGACAGAGTACAGACACAAAAACACTGAGAATAGACTGGTGGTTGCAACAGAGAGGTGGCGGAATGGCATAATATGTGAAGGGAATAAAGAGGTACAAACTTCCAATTGTAAAATAAATTAATCCCAGGGATGAAAGTAAAACATACGGAATATATTCAATAATACTGTAATATCTTTGCATGTGGACAGTGGTAATTCACTTATAATGAGCATTCAGTAATGTACACTATATAATTAGTAAATCCCTATTTTCTATACCTGAAACCAATACTATACTGTATATAAACTGTTTTTCAATTTAAAAATATATATAAGCATAAATAAAGATCCCCTCACCTGGTCAGGTACTGAATGTCTATAGAGGGTATTTTACTGTTTTCTATATCATCTTCTACTCCACTAACCTAAAGAATCAGTTATACACAAAGCAGAAAAAATATGCCTTATTTCATCTCAATAAATTATACCATTCTTCTCCTTACAGATAAACTAGAAACACCAGTGTATTTGAGACATATTCTTCATAGTGATATTCTATGAAAACTCTTTTTTGGTAAAAGTTATTGGTAATTAAGAATTTTTAAGTGTTACTACACTAAGAGTCTAGCCACCCCTACAGGGAGTTTAAGTCCTATACAATCCCCAACTCCACTAACCTAATGAACCAGCTATACATAAAGAGTTATAAATTACACAAATATCAATTGTACATATACAATTTTACATATTATGAAGATATCTCCTTCAAATAATTCAAGGAGAGAAGGCTTTATGAAGGAGTATCATTAGAGCTGGGCAATATCACTAACTGAGAGTGTGTGGCGTAGAACTCTGAGCAGAATGCTATTGCAGAAAAAGAGTATATGTGAGACAATTCAGAGATCCCAAAGCTTTCAGGCAATTATAAACATTTCTAAAGGCCTAACACAAGTCACTCATTGATGAATGTTTCATTTTAAAAAATAAATAAAATTATATAAATGGTCACTTAGAATAACTCAGATTTCAAGATAATACAGGAGTTTCATAGAGTACCAAATGGTTTACATCACAGTTTATAGATTCAAAATATATTATTCCATTTTATAAAAGCCAAATGCATTTTAAATACTTTTATTTACATTTAATACAATACTATAAAATATTCCTCTCTGACATAAATTCAAGATAAAGAAATGAAAATATTATTTTAAAAATTAATATTTAAAAGACTATTGTAAAAGAGAAAGTAGATATATAAAACAAGATTCTCTTTCTCAGCTGAAGCCATAAAACTTAGATATCTGGAATTAAATAACCCATGATTCAACTGTCTGGAATTTTTGAAACTCACTTGATTTTTGTTCAACTTTCTGCATTAATCCCTTGGCCCTGCAAAGAGTTTTTTTCATTCAATTTTTAGAAAACTATCAGTTAACCTTTAAATTTCTTCTGCACCTCAGATTTATGAGTCCATTATTATATTCATAAAGATAGCAATAATATTTTAACTATTTAGAATGTAGCCAAGAACTACCAGGTAAGTTAAAAGGCTTTTGAATAGTCAAAATGTGTGTCAGACACTAGATCATAAGTGATGTGCAAGTAGTTCCTTGTATCCTCTGTCCACTGTCCATTACTCTCAATTTTAGAAGCTTCAGGAGCCATTTTACAGGGCCAAGAAAGTTTACCAGTGGAAAATGGAAATGAAGAAGAAGGTTACAATGAAGACATATTAAAGTAACACGAAGAGATGGGCTCCAAAATAAAACTCAATCTAGCTAAATGAGAAACTTGGATTGTGAAAGTAACAAGTGTTAATGAGGATGTGTAGAAAAGGGAACCTGCCTACACTATTGGTGGGAATGTAAACTGGTGCAGCCACTATGGAGAGCAGTATGGAGTTTCCTCAAAAAAATAAAAATAGAAATACCATATAACCTAGTAATTCCACTCCTAGTAACTTACCTAAAAAAATCAAAATCTTTGATTTGAAAAGATATACTCACCCCTATGTGTATTGCCTCATTATTTACAAAAGCCAAGATACAGAAGCAGAGTGTCCATCAATAGATGAAGGGATAAAGAAGATGGGTACATATATACAATAGAATATTATTCAGCCATACAAATGAAACCTTGCCATTTATGACAACATGGATGGACCTAGAAGGTATTATGCTAAGTGAAATAAGCCAGACAGGGTAAGACAAATACACTGTTATTTCACTTATATGTGAAATTTAAAAACAAAACAAAACAAAATAAACAAAGCAGCATTAAATTCATAGACCCTGAGAGTGACTGATAGTTACCATGGGGGAGGGTTTGTGGTAGGTGGGTGAAATAGGTGAAGGAGATAAAGAGGCACAAAATCTTTTTTTTAATTGAAATATCATTGATATACAATCTTATGTTGGTTTCAAATACATAACACAGTGATTCAACAATTACCCATATTATTAAATCCTCACCCCCTCTAGTGCAGTTACTATCTATCAATGTAGAAAGACATTACAGAATCATTGGCTATATTCTCCATGCTCTACTATGTCCCCATAACTAACTTATATTGTGATTGTGAATTATTGTGCCCCTTTATCCCCCTCACCCTCCCTGCCACCTACCCGAACCCCTCCCCCTTGGTAACCACTAGTCACTTACCAGTGTCTATAAATTTAACACTGTTTTGGTCCTTCTGTTTTGCTCTGTTTTTATATTCCACAAATACTTGAGATCATATGGTATTTGTCTTTCTCTGCCTGGCTTATTTCACTGAGCATAATACTCTCTAGACCCATCATGTTGTTGCAAATCACAAGAGGCACAAAATCTTAATCATAATATAGATTAGTCATGGGAATGAAAGAACAGCATAGAGAATATGGTCAATACTTCTTTATATGTGGACAGATAGTAGCTACAGTAATTGGGGTGAATATTTAATAATATAGATAACTGTCAAAT